GATACCCTATGCTGCAAGTAATTTCAGTGGGATCATTAGTGTTTAGCACATCCATGGAATAATAAAAATCATTCCTTCAATGCAAATAATATTTTCTTTTAAAAATATTATTAACCACGCATTTTAAGATTGTTTGATAAGTACCTGAGGCTTTTTTGAAATAACTCCCAAAATGTTAGCATTACCTTCTAGTTTCCTCTTTGGGAAATAAAAGCATAACTTTTGACTGGGAACTGTAACCAGTGTATAGGTGACCCTGTTTAATGCTGTGGAATTTATTATGAGAAAAAGACCCTGGTAACTTCTGTTGTTTGTTGTGTTTAGCAGAATTCTTTTTCCCTTTCCAGGTGCAGCCATCATCTCATTGCAGGTTCACATTCTTCTGTTTAGAAATAGAAATGCGTAACTCATTAGGCAAATCTGGATACGTTCATTTGTTGAAAGAAGGCAAGTGAAGAGTGATACAAGAGGTTCAATGAAACTATTTTTGTGATACAAATATTTTGTAATGTCTAGAAGGTTTTTGGCTTTGTGCAGGGGTATGCAGCTCTGTGCTGCTTATACTGATAATGCCTAATGTAGAGATAGATCAATTGTCAAAAGTAATCTTAGTTTCAAGAGGTCGTGAAGTTTCTGATCCGGGTTTTTATTTGACCTATATTACTACTACAAGCAGCCAATTAGGGGTTTAAGTTATGTTCTCTTCTCTGTAAATTATGATTTTTAAAAAGCTATCTTATAATAGGGTCCTTTCCAATTTCTAGTCTAAACCCTTACTGTAACTACAGATAAATCTGTAATTTTCTTTATTTTCTCCCACAGATCAATATTTAGAAGTTAGTTAATGAAGCCAAATGACTGTGCTGCTACACTGAGTCTCAGCATGAACAGTTTGTGGTAAAGTGTTCCTTCTTGATTAAGTATTTATAGATAGTGGGACTGAGAAATGCAATTGTTCCCAAAGCTTTGGCAGTATTCTCATAAGAATAAAGATGATTCAAATAAATGTCAGAAGGGATTTGCTGGCTGCTGGAATGAGACAGTTGTGTGATGCAGAATTTTCTTTTGATATCAGCATAGCATTAAAGTGGCTCACTACTTTGCAAACTCAAAATACCAATCAAACAGCTGAATTTAAACAGTGTGGTGGTTTTCTATTTACATAAAGTGAAAAAAGACAGGAAACTGAGAGAGCTTGGGGAAAATACCCACTGGGTGAGAAGGATCGTGTTTGATTAATTATTATTTTAATTGCCTAATGGTGCTAAGGGAGAGTCTAATTAAAATCCCTGGAGAAGTCTTCAAAGGAGAAAAGATAAATATTGTAAAATGTTATTTATAGCCTTTAGTATTTCTTCTCACCCACATAAATACAAAAATTAAATACAATGGCTGGATCATATCTTCTGAAGCTTTTCCTTTACACACGCAATGTAGAAGAGTCAAACATAGCTGACCAGAAAATAATAGCGATGTAGGGACTTTGTAACGGCCGTGTTGCCTCCGCCCACCTGCGTATCCTGATCCTTGTGTTCCCATGCTGATCTTGGCAGAACTTGAATATAGGGTGGACTCCTGTCAGGCTGTCATGTAGTCTTTAATGGGCCATTAAAATGTGCCAGCATGTAGTTCTGAATTGTATTTTGATTTGGGATAATGTTTTCTGGCAAAAAAAAAAAATGGCTTAGGCCACAGTCAGGTACGTTGTCCGAACCCTGTCAGAGACAGACTAAGAGTTTTCTTCTTTCAGCTGCTTGCCATTTTCCCCTCTTTATGGCTTCCCATCCTCCTGATCGGGTAATGACTGCATATTTTATCACTCTGTAATCCAGTTCCAGGTTAGTCTAAAAGGATTTAGTAATGCTTTTTTCCCTTGGATTATTTTGAGAAGCAGCTGTGGCACTACACTTAGATTTAAAGGGACATTATGATCTAGATGGAGGGTAGCTATGCAAAGTGCAAGATAGGGGGAATAACTTCTTACTTGACTTAGCCGTAGCCAGAGAAGATAATCTGATGTAGTTTTTAGGCTTAGAGATCATTATCTAGTGCGTGAAAGAGACTGTCTCCCCCAAATACTTATTAATATATGCTTTGAATACATTTAAAATAGACCTGATGGAAAAAATTCAGGGTGAAGATCATGAAAAAGGAAAACACGTTTTATTGACAAGACTGATTTTAAACATCTCATAGGAGGCGCTTTGTATCCCATTCAAACTGCCATTTGACATCTAAAACAGTCTAATTTAAAACGTTTGCTTTATGAACAGTGGTTGTTCTGAACTACAGTCAATGGCTTCAGTGGCTCTTCTGCCCAGTTTGTCAGAACAGCATGGTGTTTCCCGACTGCCTGGCAATTAAAAGACATAGACTGGAGCTTGTTTAGAAACTGCAAGATGATAATTTTCAATATGTTGAATGTGAACCTGGTAGATAACTATGTAAGTTTTTTATTTCAATTTTGACATAAATTAGAAGGAAAGAGAAATTTCAAGTTAAACCATACGTTTCTGGTATACAAGTATAATGAATGATGTGTTGCATGTTTATAGCTCTTTACTTGCCATTCTGCCTTGTTGATTTGAAAAGTGATCACAAAAAAAAAAAATCCAGAAACTAGGAAAAAGGTTTTCTCTCACTCTCCATTTCTCTGTCACTGATACCTTCACAAAAGCTGTCGCCTGCTCTTCTATAGAGGTAGGCCTTCTAGAGGTAGGTCTCTTGATGATTTGAGATTTGGGTAGCAAGGTAAAGCTCCTCTTCCCTTTTTTTCTTGTACGTCTAAAGTATTAACATCTTCTTTCTTCATGAATTTTTTTGGAAATTATTTTATCTTCTGCATCCTTCATGTACAAAAGGACAACACCGGTGGAGAGGCTGGTGGCACTGGGAAAACCTCCTCTCCCAAATCTGTTATAGAGCAAATATATGGATTTCTTGGAATGAAAAGCAGAGCAGCATGTATGTGTCCCGCTGTCTGCTAGCATGTATACTTCTGTTAATATCAGCAGAAGTAGATCTGTTTGTGTGCATGTTCTGTAACATGCTGCTCTGTCTTCTAACACGTCCGTGCAACCACATAACACTACTGTATCAGTGAGCAGTTATAGAAGATCCCGAATTGAAGCCATGCAGATGTTGTCTCAATTTCTCATAGGGCTGAGTTTTATAAATATTTACATACACAAGATTTTCTGTTTGCAGTTTGTTTGCATTAAGATATGCCCATCTATTTTAACCATATGAATAAGAGCTTATGGGCAATATATTGGAGAACCACCCACAAAATGCTTACAATCAGTAAGATCTTATCCTGTGTTACAGATTTTCTTCCTAGTTTAGCTTGAGACATTTATGTCTACTATTTTATAATTTAGTATTTATTTTTGAAGAGTGTTATTCTTGTAACTCCTAATAGAACTACTTTCATGGAGTTACTCTAACAGTTATTTTTAAGTGATTGGAAAACAGTGAGGCACATCTTCAAATTTAAGTTATCTAATTTATTGAATCTAGATAATTAATGCTTTGACAAGTTCTGTCCATGTTGCTCAGTGCATTATCGATGCTCGCTGACACTAAGAAAAGCAGAATTTGGTCTGCGGTTTCTGAGACCAGGAGTTTGATGTTGTTGAAATAAGTGATGCGTGACTTTTCATATGCCAGATAATGGTGTTTTCTGTTTGTTTTCTTCTGTTTTCCTGCTTTATTACCTTTGCTTCTGATGACATTTTCAGTAAAATTAAATTTTTCCAATAGAGCACTTACTTATATGCTATCAAAAAGTTCATATTATGAAATTCCAACGAATCACACTACTGAAGGGTTTGGGGATTTTTTTAGTGCTTTGGGCTCGCTTTCTACTTTTTCCAGACTTACCAGTTTTTGTCTGCATACCATTGCTACCTTCTCCCCTGCCAACATGGACCAATAATTAAAGCTAACCACACTGTGAGCATGTTTATCCTTCATCTGTGCTCTTTCCGGGGTGCACGTGGAGTGAACGCTGCTTTTGTTACATGCTTACTGTGACTTCGTGAATGCTAAGCTGCTTGATGACAGCTTCAAAATACAGTGCCAGCTACTTTGGGATATTTCTTGCCTTTAGCCCGAAATAAGTGTCATGTATAAAATCAGTGGCCCCAGACTGCTACCATTTCACTTAAAAGGTTTAGGGACATTAAACAAATTCTTTATTTGCTCTTTGGTGGTTTGCTAGTAGTAATAGTTCTTTTTCCATTACGTTTGTGCTCATATTTTTGAGCAATAATATGTGCATTCATTGAAGATTGAAGCACTACTTGTATCTTTCAAACTGTTTGGCATTTACTAATGTGCGTGACAAATTGCTGCATTTCTTACAATTGAACAAATCTTGGCAATGTATCTAACTATTGCGTAGGATATTGGCATGCTTGAATTACATAGGGCAAAGAAGATTTGTTTTCTTTAATTAAATGCAATATGTTGGTATAGCAACATTATTATGTTTCTTGAGTGTTTGAAAGTGTTTTAAATGTTTTTGTTGTTTCCAAAAAGTAGCATTCTTTTCAGTACAGTTAAGCGTGAATATTTATTACCATCTACGGTTTACTCTAATTATATAAAATGTAATGAACCAAATACACCCAGCATCTTATATTTTATGCAATAGTACTCTATAATCAGTTCCCTTAGTTTCCTGTGTATATATATGATTAGACTAGGACTACGTTTACTTGAATCGTCAGTTGTATCATTCTTTGTGTCAGTGTCTGAACTAAATTACCTCCTACTCAAAGATTTTGAGTGATGAATCTTAGCAGCGCAAGTTCCCTGAGATTTCTGCAGTAATTAAAATATTTTTATAATAGTCCCAGATCCGGTACTTAGAAATGAGCACTCCGAAGACAGTTAAATGAGAATGGTCCTTTGCAAAATTGAGTTTTCAAAGGGGTGGGGGGTGGCACAGAAATCCATTCTTGCTCTTCCTTTTTTTTCTTTTTTTTTTCCTCTATTCATTCTGAAACTATGACTTGATGAATGTCATTAGACTGTAATCCATTTATCCCGTGTGGTGGTGGGAACAGAGAACTAGATATTTCGTTTGGACTGAGTGAACCAGAGTCACTCTGAACTGAGCCCCCGCTGCCATCAAACTGAGATATTTTCTTCTTGATCATTTTTCTTTCTTTGGCTCGGCGATTCTGGAACCAGATTTTCACCTGTGGTGTTGCAAATGATATCTGATTAATTCAAAGTAGTGGTCACCTTTTTTACAGTAATAGTTGTATCATTGCTTTATATTAAAAATATTATTTTCCAAATAGTTATGATTTTATTACTTTACTGGTAATGGCAGTAAGAAGCATTTAGCTTTGTCGTAAGTCCTGTAGAAATGCAGATAGATTATGTATTTTGTCTACATTATACTTGAAGGAAATTTAGCAGTCAAGAATTGGAGGGCTTTAAGAGCACCAGCTATGTAGAAGGAAACTACTGATTTTATGCGGTATCACTGGTTACTCCAGGCATGTCTGTGTTCTAAATCAGCCAGCTTGCATAACATTAAAGCAGAGGTTTTGAATCTTTTATAATTGTAGTTCTCTGAAAATTTGTGATGGAGCTACATCCTGCTGTATAACAAATCAGTCCATCAATGGTGGGCTTGTTTTGTGTAGTTACTTTCTGGGGCTAGTTAGAGTCTGCGGAGTGTAATCCATGTACTGTTTAGGTCTGAGATTGAACATCAATGCATCCAGTGCTTGATCCTAAGATATCATTGCTTATCCATGTATCCTTACACTTCCAGCCTCAATTGGTCCCTCTCTATTCCATGTTCTTGCACAGACTGAATGCAGAAGCAGAGGAGGCCGCTGAAGGAGGAGAATATTTTAGAGAACTGAATGTGTATATTCAGAAAGAACAAAAGTTTGTAAAATTCTGAAAAGAAAGATCTCTTGTTTAAATTTACCTGGGGGCAAAAAATCTGGTTGCTAAGATATGAGATGCCTTATTCAGTTTCGCCAAATCTTCCCTTATCCTCCAACTGTAGCAGAACCATTGAAATTCTGTCGTATAAGGGGTGTTGGATTCAACAGTTACTATATTTGCAGACTGCAGAGCTGTGCTTCGGAAGTGTGCTCTCCAGCACAGTGATTTTAGGAAATTCTTTATCCTGAATTCCTCTAGTCTTTGTATGAACACAGCTAAGATACCTGGGCCCCTGCTCTGGGGACTATCTTTATTCTGGACAGAGCTTAAATATGTACTTGATATGAATGAATGCAGAGCTGCTTTCCAAAGACGCAATGGATCTAAGTATGCACTTGAAAATTTCCTGAATTGGCTACTTATATGTGTGTAATAGGCATAAAAATTTGGCACCAAATTTTATCGCCTAAAGGATCCTGTATATAGTGGGTGCTACAGGTGAAGCACCTGTGAACATAATAGCAAAAAGAAATCCTGACTTGAAAATCAAAGGCTGTAAAAACTCCTTAAAATGTTCTGAAATCTAACTGACTGAGGAAGAATGTGGCCTGTGGAAATAGTGGCAATAAATTTGTAACAAAAAATATGTAGATATCTCGTGTGATGGCTCTTTGAATGCTGAGTTTTTATTTTCCTGGCTTACAGCTGAAATGTATCCAATGCTTTGGATTTTTTTCTAGCTGCCATTTTGTGTGATTGCAAGAAGAAATAAAACGGTGAATGTCACAACTATTGAGAACATAGCTAAGATAATGTTAAGCTGAAGTGTTTAAATTCTAGCTGCCTAGCAAGCTGTTATACACGTGAGAATAAGTACTTTTTCTAGTATAAATGAATTCCTAATGTTTAGTTACCCATAATTGGAGGTTTCTGTCAAATTAGCCCATTTATTAATTTGTATTTGCATAGTGTATTCTCTGTGCGTTAAATATACTCACGAACTTTGTCATGGTTGCATTTGCACTACTTTTGGATACAGAACGTGAATGTTGCTCATGTCCTCTGGCAGTAACAGTGTCTGGTGAGTGGGTGCGTACGAATGATGGATGGTCTCTGTGTACCTGTCTTTCAGATAGTCCCAGGTTTGCTGCAAGTTCTGACTTTCTCCTTATTGTAATATATCTGTTGCAGTGAAATTCCTTCTCTAATTCTAGTCTCTGATGATCTGTGTAAACAACTCGGTACTTTTCTTTTGTTCTTGTTTTACCTGTTTAAGAAAGAAATATTATTAATATGTTGAATTTGATTTTCTATAGCATCTTTCTTTCACACATCTCAAACATTTTTCAGACATTCATTAAACTACAGAGCACATGCATGGGATTTTCTGTGTTGCAGAGAAGGAATATGAGATGCAGAGTGAACGAGTGAGTGAGTATTGGTTATCATAACTGTCTTTCCCTCTTTATCTCCCTCTCTCTGTAAACATACATTTAAATGTAAAGCTCAAGTAAAAAACACCCTGAAGCATCTTAAATAATTCATAGCAGTACATAATTGGTGCTGGCTATATTTGATCTCAAAGGGGTTTCATTTCAGTGCTCCTTGAAGTGACTTCCGTGTATGTGCAGGCATAAATACACAGGATTTCAAGACTGAAGTTGAGTCACAATTTGTTTAGTTGTACCGTGTCCTAATTTTTTATTTGAGGTTTTTAAAGATCACCTCTCTAACACAAAGAAATGTCCTACTAGAAATGCTTTCGCCCTCTTCTGTGGCCATAAGACATGCTTATAAGTGCAATAAAAATTTGAATTTACTTTTTCAGAAAGGTCCAGTCTCGCAGGATGCTGAGTGCCTGTAGAACTATTGCTGGGGGTACTCTGTGTGCTGAGCTTCCCTTCTGAGTTGAAGGCACTGGGCAATTTGTAAGACGAGGCAATAAAATACTTGTAAAAGGATTTCAGTATCATCCTCTCTCTAACGTATAAAAAAATATTCTTAGATATATTGGATGAGTACTGTTAAGAGAAGCATTACTTGATGTTTAGAAGATATCTCTCATTTCATAGACTTTTTTAAACAATTCTTCATGTAATAATTATACAGAGAGATCACTTTTCAACTTATTTGTTCTTCTTTGCACTTTCAACAGCCAACTAGATAGTTTTCCTTTTCCTTCTGATCTTCCCAGGTTTTTTTTGATGTGAGTTTTCTGGGACAAACTGTAGGACAAAGACTCCTTTAAAGTGGTTCCCTAAAATCCATTGAGGTGTTAAGATGAAGCACACGCCACACAAAGGAGCGACAAGGAGATCTTATCAAGAACCCCTTTCACATTCAGAAACACAAGCCAATTGGTTTGGAATTTACAAGCCCTAAACAAATGTCAGACTCTTTCATCTTAGCAGAGGAAAAAAGGACAGAAATAGATGAAGGAATATTTTTTTCCTCAGTTCTCTTTAATTTTGGACCAACACTGAGGGATAGACTGCGGTATTCTTATCTGAAGGCTAGAGGTAGACATAGCTTAAGACATTTTGAAATACGCATCATAAAGGATGTTTTCCCAAATCCTGTGCCACTTTGACTTCTAGTGTACAAGGTTTTCCTGCCTAAATTTGCAGGACTAAAACAATCATCAAACTGAGTTTACTTTTTTTCAAGGTACAAATTGTTGGCTTTGAAATATTTGCTCTAAGTGATAGTTATAACGTTAACAACAGTATAGATATTCAGGTTCCTTGTAAACTGAAGGCTTAGAAGGTAATCTTTGAAAACAAGTTAAAATTCAACACGGTTATTCCGGCTTCACTATAATCAGCAAATATAACCATGATTTGAGGGGGTGGAGAAAAGGAGTAGTTTTCCCCATTCCCCTTGGTCATAAAATTCACAGAGCATTTCTTCTGAAGACAATAAAGCTGGGAGAAGGCCTCTTTATTTACTGTGAAAATCATCACCCTTTCCGGCAATATAACTCCTGAAGAAAAGAGGGAGAAGGAAGAGACAAGACTGCATATCAAAGCAAAGAGAAGTGTTGAAAGGGTCTGTTGCCTCAATATGACAGATAGGCCTCAAAACCTCAGACAATGTAGGCCAGTGGAAAATAGATGTCACAACTAGTTTACAAAGCAAAATAAATTAGCATGAGAGCAGAGGCCTGGCCTTTTTTCCTGCTTTTCTATTTTGCTTTCTGGCTGTGTTTCTGCTGTGATGTAATCTGAATTACTTGTACATCACTGCTTGTTT